CAGCACACACCACAGGCCCTGGCCCCAAACTCCACTGCTGCACCCCTGCCCCCAGGGGACTCCCCTCCTCCTGACGAGTCCACACAGGGAGCAGGGAGCCATCCTGCGGAACAGACTCAGCCTGATGTGGTGTCCCATCCAGCTGGGGAAGCTCAGGACGCAGAAGTGCCGCAGCCTGAGGGAGATGCATCTCAGGTCACAGCTGGGGCTCACCCCGGTGCGGGGTCACACCGGGGCTCTTCTGCTGGTATCCTGAAGCGACCCCAGAGTCTTCCACTAATGGAGGAGCCCATGGCGACCCAGATTGTGGGGCTGGAGAACGGACGCAGGAGGACGGTGACCTTCAGCCAGCAGGTCGGGACGCATATTTTGAAATTGACAAAAGCTGTTAGTCAGTAGCCACCGCAGCATATTTAAATACAGCGTGTGTGTTTTTTCCTCTGATGAAGGTGGCAAACATTTTGCTGAATGGCGTGCGCTATGAGAGTGATCTGAGTGAGAATGTGGAGACAGGAGAATCGCAGATGTCGATGAAGCTGCTGTGTATAGCCATCTACAGGATGCCTCCCTCTCTGCGAAGTTTATGCACTAATCATTTTCTGGGTGAGGATTATCGCTGTTTAAAATTTGTTGCACATAAAACCCTGCAACACTGTAAAAACTGTCTGTCTGTCTGTCTGTCTGTATTAAATATTAACAGAGTTGATATTTATTTGCTCTTTATAGGCTGGCTGTCCTTTGAAGGCATGCTGCTCTTCTACACTGACTTCATGGGGGAGGTTGTGTTTGAAGGAGACCCCAAGGCACCCCACGACTCCGAGGCTTATCAACGGTATAATGCTGGTGTTAGCATGGGCTGCTGGGGCATGTGCATCTATGCATTCAGTGCTGCTTTCTACTCAGGTAAGCTACACTCACAATCCCAACACGTCTTGGATGTTACTGCAGCTCTGTCTTTCTTTCCTTGACAAGCTTTACACGAGTGCCTTCTGTTCCTCTCTGCGTTTCCTCTTCACCTTTCAGCCATATTGGAGAAACTGGAGGAGCGTTTCTCTCTTCGCACTCTATATTTTTTTGCCTACCTGGCGTTTGGTTTGGGCACGGGCCTGGCCACACTGTCCACCAACATCTACGTGGTACTTTCTCTCTGTGTCACCTATGGGGTGCTCTTCTCCTCTCTATGCACGCTGCCTTACTCTCTGCTGTGTGAATACTACCAGAGCCCTCAGGTCAGTATCTGGATATGGAACTTATGTAATTATAGTTGCTTCATGGTATTGACCAGGAACAATGTTTTTGTGTCCAAGTGAATAATGGCAAGAATCATTTTGAAACTGGTCCAGTATTGAGGGAGAGAGCTGCAGCCTCAAAACAGGTTACGATGTTATCACTTGAGGAAATAAGGCACTGTCATGTACATCAACTAAGAGTGCATGTTTTTGCCACTGACAGGCTCAGATTGTTATTGTAAGTGTCTGACAAAATTATGGAAAGGAGCCCTACAGAGGTCGACCAATTAACCTGCATGTCTTTGGACTGTGGGAGGAAGCTGGAGTACCCTGAGAAAACCCACGCCGTCACAGCAGCCATCAATTTCCATACCATGGTATACTGCTGGAACTCTAATTAGAAAAAAAAAAAAACAGAGTTGGTGATTGCTAGAACAATGAACCAGACGACTTTTCAGCTTCAGTTTGCTTCTGGTAACTTTAAATGAATTGTTTTACGATGATAAAAATATTTAATTTAAATGGAGTCTGGTGAGTTTGGTGATAACAGTTTCAGGGCTGTGTCTTGTTAAACAAAAAAGATCTTACTCTTTAATTAACAGAAAGGTCTATCTCTGTAGGGATCACTTCCATAATGTTTTCACACAGTTATATAGCAATATGAACCTGTCAGTGGCAAAAACGAGCACTTTTAGTGGACGAAAATTGACAACGCACGATTGCCCTGAGTGGTTACATTGTAGCCTTTTTGCCACAACTGGCTGCCGACCTGTCGCTCAATACTGGACCAAAAAACATGAGTGAATATGGTCTAGGGTGAGAAATGATTAAATTACCCTGCAAAGGAATACATAAAGGTTTTTGGAAATGCGCTTACTCGCTTTCTTGATGAGATTTAGTTTAGTCACAGCCAGCAAACAAAATCCACGTATCAGCACCTCTAAAGCTCACTACTTGACATGATATAACTCCTTATTTCCCATCTGTACGATAACAGAAGTGTAACTAAGTAAGTGTGACTATTTCTTGATCTTTAGAGGTGCTGGTTGCCAGATTTTGTTACGTTTCCAGTCTTAATGCAGAGCTAAGCTAGTAAGATGCTAGCTGCAGCTTCATATTATGCGTACAGACATGAGCGGTAACAAAACTGAATGAGCACATTTCACATAAATGTTGACCCACTCATCCAACGCTGTAGTGATCTGTGGTGCACTACATACATTGATCATGTACCTAAACTGTTTGCGTACATTTCTCAGTTTTGTGGCTCATCAGAAGAAGGAACCAGACGAGGGATGGGGGTGGACATCTCTCTGCTCAGCTGCCAGTACTTCCTGGCTCAGATCCTGGTCTCTGTGGCGATGGGACCTCTGACCTCACTGGTGGGTGGGGCCCAGGGAGTGATGTACTTTGCAAGCCTGATGTCATTCGTGGGCTGCCTGTACTCCTCCCTCTGCGTGGTGTACCAGCTGCCCCCCCCTGAGGGTGAGCCCCCTGATAGTGAGACCCAGCCACTATTGGTGCACATTTAGAAAAGTCTCTCAATTTAGTTTACCTCACACACATACACACACACACACTCTGAACGGGCACACGCTCTCACGCTGTCGCTTAGTGTCTGAGTGTGTTGACCATCACAGCACTGATACGACAACAAAAAACCCACACTGCACATCCTGCCGCACACTGTACAGCACAATTCCATATATTGTTTCACACTGATCAGCGCTGCTCTTCTCAGAGCTAGACAGACAGACAGACAGACATTGGCCACTGCTCTAATATGTGTATACATGACCAGTGTGTTCGTACAGTGTGTGTGCTCATGCATTTTTTCCTAACATTTGCAAATGAATGTGTGACCTTTTTGAATGTGGGAGAAGCGTGTGTGTGTGTGTGCGAGAGAAAGAGTGTGACCTCTTTAACGATAGATAAGCCGTTCTTCTGTCTGATTCTTTGCTGTAAAATCGTGCGTCATCTTTTTCTTGCTTGTTGGTGTTTAGTATAGAAATGTTGATCATGTACGTAAAGGCTAACCACAGCTTTCCCCCTCTTTTTCTTCCTTTTATCAGTTGCCTAACGTCTGCATGAGCTGCAATGTAATCTCTCAAAGCCTTGTGTTAATGTTTTGTTTCGGTCACACGGCCAAGGGAATGTCTACCTGCCTGTTTCTCTGAGTTAGCATATTAGCATCACACCTTAGGCAGGATTTGTTTCTGACTAAACGAATGTGCTGCCAGTGTCCACTCACACTCGACGCTCCTTCATCAGTTCAAGAGCTCTTTAATTTAGCAAACACTTAATATTCACTTGAAGCTGAACAACACTTAATCACAGTCTTGAAGGGCTTGTTCACATTTTAACAGCAAATAAAAAAACAACACCTTCACACAATCCAGTCATGACGAGACTTACCAGTGAGCTATCCCCAAATTTCACACTTTGGTGCTGGGTGACTCTTAATCAAGTCCCAAGTATGAGTACTAAGCCAATTAAGTAATTAATCAGCATATAGCCATGACAAAAAAAGACGACATGCTCGTACACAAACGCTCAAAAACACAGAGAAATGTGTGCTGGTGGCAAATTCTGTCTGGGCCCTCACTAAGCCATGGTACAGCCGCGAGCTGTCACCCTAACTCCTGGCCATGCCATTGTAATAATGACAGTGATTCTTGTCATTATCAGGAAGAGGAGAAGTTGAAACTGGGGTGTGAATCAGCATTCAGTCGGAAACCGAACAAAACAGAGGAACAGCAAACAGGGAGAAGACTCATGTGAACTATGGGTAACCCTGAAGGTGGACAACACTGAAAGAAAAGACTGTGGGGGTTCATAGAGCCAGCAGCAAGTGCTTATGTCATCATTAGGGCGCATGCTAAAGGTAGTAGGCTTCTGCTCCACCACGCTCTGCCCACCGACTCAGTATAGTGATGTCCTTACATTTGTTAGCCAACTTCCCTGACAGGAAGTATAATTTAATTTTCCATCCAAAAGAAGCTATCTTCATCAGCACAATGGTACATATATAATTTATTTTATACATCTGTTGTGCCATGGAATACAGCAGTATGTTCGTCTGTTGAGCCTCAACACAGGCGCAGAGCCTGACTTCAGGACTTTAACAAAGGTTTACTTTATTATATAACCTGGTGAAGCCTACCATTGTGTTGGTTTCATTGATTGGTTCACACCAACGTTATGGTACAAGTCATAAGTGCTGCCTCAGCAGAATGTTGATTATTGCCTACTATTTAAGCCTCCTGGACTGACTGGATGCACGCCATGCTTACGTTTCTGAGGAAACTAACTGTATGGATCATGCTGTTGCAGCTTGCTTGAGAAAAAAAAACAAGTTTTGTGTCATATGGTACCACCAATTGCTCAATATTAGCAGTGTTACTGTAAAAGCTACTTTTATTCAGGGTTCAGTTAAAACTAAAAATGATCATTTTGCCATTTTGGACTCCTGTGTCAGTTATTGGTTTTCACTTGAAGCTCATACCAGTTGTCACCCCAGCTGACTTCTGAAATAATGAGCTGCAATCTTAAAGTCCACCACACGGGGGAGCTGGAGACACAAGACAGCAACCCATTGATTCTGTGCACCCTTTTCCATTACCAAGTGAGGGAGATTATTCCTGTTCCTTCCTCCATCTAAGCCAGCCATTTTCCATGTTCAGAAAAAAATTGGGTCAAGTGACATCATCTCCTTATTAAGCCATGATTTATACAAGCACCAATGATGAGGTAACAAACACACAAATCAGATACCCTTAAGTAAAAAGACAATTTATTTGTTAATCAGAATATACAAAGCAGTGGCTGAAGTAACCGAATGTCATTCTGGTTCTGAAAAAGGCAGTCTTGGACACAAAACTGGGCTACCCAGCCATAACATAAAACTCATTGAAAACGTAAGAAAAAAAAAAAGTATAAATGGTACAAACTTGCGTGGAATGCATACAGAACAAATGACCAAAGCTTAAAGATTTAAGAGGGGGTAATTAACATTGCAAAATCCTGCCTCCATGAAACAAGGTCAAGGAATCTTATCATGGAGGCGCAAGACAGATCCCCTTTATTCATTTTGCACCATCTGTTATGTTATCAGGGCAGCCAAGCCAAGGATTAACTAGCAGCTCAACACAAAAAATAATGATGCCTCAACTAATAATGCTAACAACTGTCTATTAGCCCCTGCTTAAAACTTATCTTTGGTCCTTGAAGTGAATCTGAGAGGTCAACATGAGCCTTGGAGGTGAGCAGCTGCCTGTATGTATGAATCATCTGGTCAGCACTGACTTAATAGAGATTGTGCTTCTAACATACCGATATAAAACCTCAAGAAATGAAAATAACTGATCTTGTGATGTGGCCCGATTTGTACAAGTAGAAAAAAAAGCTCATTTTAAAGACCAATAAATAACATTTCATAAAAAAAGGATGCAGGGCCACTCTGTTTCAGGACTCCAGTGCAATGTGATAACATGGGAGCAAACAAAAAGAAATATTTCCTCAAAGCTACAGAAAGCACAAGCTCTACAACACGATGTTGACCAGGCTGGTAAGACAGTGCTGCAAACAAGTAGCAGGGCAGAGACCTAAGCCTCCACTTCTGCCTCTTTTGAATCTCCATTTTCCTCTGTCTTCTGCTTTTTTGTCTCCACCTTCTCCTATTTTTAAAAAAGAGGGAAAATATTTCAAGCATTAGCAAGGCATCAAGTTAACTGGATTAGTCAACATGTTAAAAAAAACAGTATTCAAATTATATTTCAGCCTGGTGACAACCCACCTCCTCCTCTTCAGCTGCACGCTTCACAGGCTGTGCATCAGTCTCCTCAGCAGGGGGCGCCTCCTCTGCTTTCCCTGTAACACACAGTATGTCACTTCAGAAAATACATCCTTTACTTTAGGTGTAATTCAGTCACAAAATTAATCTTTTAAAAATTTCATCTCCAACTCAAGGCCATATGTGGTGATACCATTTACTGAAATGTGTAAAGCAAATCAAAAGCAACAAAGAGAAATGTAGAGCACTGTTGCTTCCAAGTCTTTTTGAACACAGAAATACAGCTTTACATGAACATACCATCTCCATTCTTGTGTTTCTCCTCTGCCTTTTTCTCCGCTTTGTCACTGTGGTCAGCACCATTCTGAAAGAGGAGAGAAAATGTCAGTCCAGCTCACATCACATGTGATAACTGGGTTTTTATTGCATGAGCAGTGTAGTAAAGACAGAAAAAAATATCTAAACTAGGACTCCCAAGCATATTTGAAATATTCCTCCCAGAGTCTTATATGTACAAGACTCCTCTAGGGACATTTATAAAAAGGCATGCGTGTGGAGCTCCTACTACTCCCCAGAGGATCAGCCACCAAGCTAGAGACCCCAATGGAAACGTCCAAAGGCTTGCTAGCTAACATCTGTGCCATTTCACAACCCAAACAAAGCGCTGTGTGGAGGAGCAGCTGAACAGGAGGGGGAGGCGGGTGCAGCGACACCTGCATGATGAGGGGCGCTAAGACAAAAGGCCATGAGGCTGGTCCTCGTCTCCAACTCACTGTGCCATTCGCAGGTGCGTCCCCGTTGTCGGTCTTCTTCTCCTCCTCCTTCGCCTCCACTTCTTTCTTCTCTTTCAGCTCCTACAAAATAAAAGCACGCCTTATGATCAATGTGACGGTTCAGCGGAGAGTTTATTCTGAAGAGCCGCACGTTTTTTTAAACACCACGTCTGGTTTTGAGTAAAAGAAAGCTCGTTTACTAGACCTGGGGGTTAAGTCTAATTCAAGGAAGACGTTGTTGGACATAATTAGTGGCGATGTTAAACGCTTTCATCTTCACCCGTAATGTAACGTTAACGTTACTGTGGCTTCCCGCCCACAGCAGCAGCTCCGCTTCACCAGCTGTACGTTACCGTTTCTACCGCTTTGTCTGCTCAACAAGACATTTTTAGCTAACCACATCACAAACGTTTCAGTTTCCAGACACAATAATTCGCTGTCGACGCCGAAAATTACAATTAAGTCACCTTCACAGTGCATGGCTGTCGACAAGTGACATTTCAACATAACAGTCATTTAGTCATTTTCCCCAATTACCGTTTTAACTCAACGTTAACTAACGTTAACCGTCACGTTAACGACGGCTGTTAAACCCGAGCTAGCTAAACAAGACAATACAACTTTGAAAAAAAGTTCCCAAAATCTTTTAACACGACAGTTCAACCGTAAAAAAAAAACTGAATGAAACGCACCTTGGCTGTAACCTCTGCAGTTGCGGTCGTATCAACAGCTGTGTCGGCCATGGCTAGTTTTGCAAATAAATTTAGATATTTATAATCCTGTTCAGAAAAAGATTTTCTCTTTTTAATTTCTTGGCTCTTTGCCTTCGTTTGGATAACGTTAGTCCAAAGGCGCTGAGAGAGAAATGATGTCTGCCCCTCTCCGCTTTTCTCTCGAGCTCGTTGAAAATCCACTCCCGTTGGATACAGCGGCTCGAGCCCGCACACGATTGGTCAATGTCGACCACCGGAGTATTTAATTGGAGGGTTATCCTGCCAATCTCCACAAGACGTCCCGCCTACTAGCTATCTCACCGCTGATTGGTCAATTGTTTTAAAGCGCTGGACTAAAGACACCAGAGTTCTTTTTTCTATTACCCATCAGTTTGCGTTTGGTTTTTACCCAAATTTTGCACATTGGACGTAAAGTCGCCCGCTTTCAAAGTTATAACAACCCAAAAGAGTCTCTTCAAGGCTAAATATTATCTTAAGCAGATGGAGTGTAAAAGTTTCTAAACACATGCGCACGGTCGGCATCTTTTGTCTTAGCGCTCTTTCTCCGCAGAGATGGGGGTATCAAATTACAAGCAAAACGGACTAATGTGACGATGTGAAAACACTGCGGCCACTCCTCCTTTCTATATTTAACACTTCTAACGAAATGTGTTCCTCCTTAAGCATGCTTACGCTTTCACTACTCTCCAAAACTGATAATTGGAGTCAAGCAGTAACAATGCAGTTTGCATATTAAACAAACAGCAATTCATTATTCTATTACAAATCTATAAGACACAACACACCTGCATAGCCTGAGAGCTGTACATGCACTTTACACATTTAAAATGTATTCAAATATTGCAGTTGGAACAATAATCATTTAATATCAATACGTATAAATTGATAAATGTCATTTTTAATTCTATTTTCTGCTAAAGTATTTGTACAGTCATCAAAAAGCACTCAGTAAATGTAAGTAGTTGTCTGTTGAGGTAATATTTGATACAATGGAAAGGAAAATATCTTGTGCCACACACTGGCCGAGGCAAGGCTGAGCAATAAATGTGTTGCTTTGTGATTTGTGAGTCTGTCAGAGGCTGTAATGGGGTGTGGTGTGTGGTACAGTAAGTGTGCGTATGTGTGAAAATCTTTACAGCATGAACTTAAATGCAGATATTGTCACAATACTAATAAAGGCGAGATTGATTTTTTCATTTCCTGGGAAAGTACAAAGTGACCTTGCTATGAGCACTTATATAAATGTAGAGAATAAAAATAAATGATAGCATGCAAGCTATGAATACAGTATGGTGTGTTCAGGGGCACTTGATGACAGATGGAAGTGATTTTACAGACCGCATAGACACCTCTCAAATACAATTCATTCCAATTCATATTTTAAGTGTAGTGATAAAACATGATTTAAATGGTATTTTTCTCTAGATATATTTTTCCATTATTTCTGTTAATTAAAAAGCATTTTGTTTTGATAGTGTTTTGTCTGGTGTCCCAAAACTGTCTGTTTTTCTTCTCTTTCAGAGGTGAACAGTCTTTGCTGCTGCTCATCCAACTGTTAAACCAAAGGAAGTGGCAACACACAACTTTGTGGGCCCTGAACTCTGTAATTTAAGCCTACACATGGTCTCAGTGTCAGTAAAAAAAAAAAAAAAAAAAGCAAAATGAATGTATTATTTTTATCATGGGTAACATCTACACATTTTGTGCCATGATGTTCTGACCTACAATAGAATTCCTGAAGTTACAACAAAATCAGATGACTGTCAGCAACCTTATTTGCCACACCTGTCACTGTTTCCGCCCACACACAGCCATCAATCATTTTCATAAAACATTTACCTGCAGTTATCTGATGGTTGTCGGAGCAACACTGTAAATTGCACTCTAGTTTACAAAACATGTTTGGGTGTGCTCCACATAATTTGGATTTCAAGTTTTTCTAGATGTTTGTATCCTTAACTTGCCCCAACACACCCAGGAGGATATCTTGACACAAGTATGTTTTCAGTCTCTAATTTTAGGGTCTCCTAGGACCTAATCCTACGCTGCCTCACTTATCTCCTTCATGCCATGCTAGTATTCAAGCCACTGATTTTGAAGAAGCCTCCAGGCCCTCTTAGTCATTTACCTCACATTCATCTGAAATATAATTATAAAGACGGTAATTACATGCAGAAATCAAAGGGTTGTGTGTCAGTGCTGGTTACTTTGAGATTTATTTTCTGTCTCATATAAAGATGTTTTTAACTAATTCTGAGACTCATTCTACCATAACTATAGGAGGGAAATACATTAAAATAATGCTAATGTCAATACAAAAGCTTCTGGTTAAACGAGTGGAAGAGATCATGAACAATGAACAAGAGATAATCACATGACACAGCATTAGTTTTATATTGTGAGGCTGAAAATTAAAAAGCAGCAATGCAAGACATCATGTCAATGCACTTGAAAAGAGGGACTCATCTTAGTATATCCTTTTATGTTGGAAATGAAGACCATGTGGAGACTGCAGAGCACTGAAACATCCACTCTCTTCAGTAGATCCACAGGAGGACCGGAGGAGCTGTTTAAAAAGCAGCAGAAGGCATTACTCACTCTGTTTCTGTAACTGGAAAATGGGAGCAATCTGAGAGAGGGGGAGTGTTTGTGAGATCATTTCCTGTCTTTTTTTTTTTTTTTAATGTTTTTTCCCTCCTCATTTCAACATGTTTCCATGTGCCACCGATTTGTGACAAAGAAAAAAAATCCATCTATGGGCAGCCTGTTTCATTCTGCAGGTACAGAAGTGAACCACACTGTTGCGGCAAGTAGGCTAGTGAAGGAAAAGTTGAATTGAGACAGAATTTATGTGGTGATTTTTACAAACCTGTTATTTGCCAACAATTGGAGTGTTTACCACACTTTCCGTAAGTAGGAACTGGAAAAGTTTTTTTTTTAAATTCAAAGTTATGGAAACACAGAAAGCAATACTGTATAAAAGAAAAGCTTCTTTGTGTTCACAATGACACATGTTTTACAGTAAATTCAATGTTTTGCATCAGTTTCCATCGCCGAGGAAACATTTCTGTGAATGTTAAGCTGTTCCCGATCTGCAGACAGGTCGGAGGATGTAGGACTGGAAGTTCAGCCCCTTAATTTCACCTTAATTTCCTCAGGACAAAGGGCTGACCTGACTTGAGGAATGTCAGTGCTCAGAGCTAAGTGGGGGCCCATCAAAGAGCAGAGGTCAGGATTAGGCGGGGGAAGGGTCCCGATAATTGGAGGAATCGGTGGGGGGAAACTGAGCTCTTTTGTTTTGAACAGCAGTGTCCTGCATGGTCTAGCTGGCTTTCTCTGGCTTTCAGGCAAATCCTGTAGAGTACAGGGACAACATAAAGTTGACTTCTCACTGGCACTCATCAGTCAGATGAACAATGAGGGAGAAAGTTATTGATCTTTAGCCTAATTAACACAATTAAGTACAGTTGTTACTGATGATAGTGAGAACATGTACGCAAGTAGTGCCGCCGCAAGACTCCCACAACTGTGATTCTAAATAAAGATTACAGGGATGTTCCTAAAGTGACTCAAGAGTCACAGTGCATGTATTACAACTTTTCTGTGAACTATATAGACAAAGTCTATTGTTAAAGAAGCAACAATTAATTTGAGGTGTCTTTAAGGATGTGCAAGAAGTATAACATTAATAATCTTTACTTCAAACTTTATTTGACATTATGATACAAATTACAGGAACTATAACAGTGCATCCCTATCACTTAATACAAAGACGCAAGAAAAACAATCAAACTAAAAAAACAACAACAAGGCTACAATAATAAAAACAACAAATTAATAGATAAAAATATAAATATATGGATGGGTATATGACATTGAAATAAGTTTATATTACAGGGATCAATACATTTTCCACTTAAAGGGACTCTGTGCAGAACTGAGAGCGTATGTTGTTGTCTGGACGCAGCTCTCAAGATCAAGATGTCCGAGTCGGCAGCTAGCAGCTAAACTGGGATTTATACTTCTGTGTCGAATTGATGCTGTACCTACGGCATAGGCTCCGCTTCAACGTAGAGCCAACGCCGTACTCTATGCTGTAGCCTGACGAAACAATCAATTGTGAAGACGATAAAGCGCCCACAAAAGTTTTTTTTAAAGGTGTTTTAAAGGGGGAAACCGAAGGGGGGGTTGCTGCACTTCTGTAATGCCGTTATCCCGATATTGGCAGGTAAGCGCCATATGAGTGCAGTGCAAAGTGAGATAGCCAGTGGGATGCAAACATACAGTACTATTAACGTGCAGCCAGACCAACTCATCACAACAAACCACAGAGAAGCTCTGATTACAATACGCAGAGGTAGTGTGACTTGATTCTCAGCTCAGGACTCCATTACTCCACTATATCTTTACAAAGCAAATGTGGTTTGCTGCTCTATCAATGTTCTGAATGTTGATACAGAACCTGTTAAAGTGAACAGTGAAATTAATTGTCCTTGCATAAACTGTTTGCGTTTTATAACTAATACAGAAGTAAAACATAAAAATATGGTATTCATTATAATATTATTTATTTATTGATCACTTTGGGACTACTATGTCAGCACAGCAGCCAATTATAGGATTCAACTAACTGAAAAAAGAAGAAAAAAGGTGTGTATAAAAGTAAGCAATAAATAAGTTACAGTACAACAGATGTGTGTGAAATTAACTTTTAATGCAGAAAAATATATTTAACAAAATAACAAAATTGAAATAACAAAAGTCAGATAAGAAAACAAATCAATTTACATGCAGCATTAAAGTATTATTTTAAAAAATCTGTATCTGAGTCTACAGAAACACACATCATGTAAACCAAAGCTCCTCAGAGGCACAGTGCCAAGAGATCCTGAAATCCTGCAGCTCTGGATATTGTTGGGGTGGTTGTGGTTGAGCAGTGTGTGACCGCTACCTCATTGAACTTCTCTGGCGCGCATGCTTGTGGTGCTCACACATACAGCGTTGGTGCTGTGGCGCTGCTGCAGAGCTGTCTGCTGCTGTATCTACTGTATTTCCACAATTAAAAGCGAGTCATGTATAATAATATGTATAATAATGTATAATAATTCACAATAAAAAGCTTTGTGTTAACAAATGAAGGGATTCTGTCCACAGAGTGCTTTTATTTTGAAATGGAAACAGGAAATGGCGAGTAAAACAGGAGTACTTATATTTCTTCATGTCTTTGAGTGATCCAGACATTTAAACTATAGTGAAAAGGTGGTATAATGTTAATATGATTATCAAAAGACCATTTTCACTGTCTGTTTTTGATGAGAACTGTGCGCGTTAAACAGAAAAAACTGGCAAGCCTCTGAATCTCTGGATGTTTTGCAGCTGAGCAGCATTCACACTATGCCTGAGCAGTGCTGCTCACGCATGCAGTGTATCCCTTGCCTCAGGATACTCCCCCAAAAAAGGGGAAGAAGATCGGATATACCTGGGCTGATAAAT